CACACACACACACACACACACACACACACACACACACACACACACACACACACACACACACACACGGTCTATGCTAACTAAAGCCACAAAGAAATTATGCTTTCAAAAAAAATTGTTGGTAAGATAAAAAAGACAAAAACAGCTCTGTATCACCTGTTTGCATGTTTTCTGACCGTCTGCACTGAGACAGAAGCAGCTACTGTCGATGTATTAGCCTTCCCCGTCACAAACGCTAGCTCACAAATTTAATTATTCGGCTGCTCCATGGCCTGTTTCCTGTCACGCACGCTGCTGTTTTGGCTGCAGCTCATTATTATTGTAAAAATATGCCACTTTGACCGTAGGCCTGCTGATATATTGCGAAAGACACTTTGTTTTCTAGGGCTCTCATAAACATAGCTTTTGTTCATGTATAGAATCGATCAGCATTGAGCATGATTGCAGGTGTTAGGGTAAATGACGCAAAAATGCCACTGAAAGTGGTTATATGGAAAAGGACTAATATACAAGGACTGCTGATTCAGCGTGGTCCTTGTGTAAGAGTACCAAACAATCAGGATTTAACACCATAACACACCCACACATATCATTTTTGTGCTTAACATGCACGGACAGAAGAAGGTTATTATTTAAAGCACCATAGTAAACTGCTGTATTGATAGTCTATGTTAAAATACGAAGAAAACTATCACACCCTATTATTAAGACAGACAAATATCTGACTTTAATTACAGTTTTGTATTTCAACAAGCTAATTAAATATAGATATTTGCCAAGGCAACAATTTTAGCTGTACCCTTTACCCCAGTGGCTTTAACCCTTTTTATAAGGTCAGCATGCACAAGGTTTGGGTGCTCTGTGATCATATCGCAAGGTGTCACATTAAGGTCTGTCAGCAAGATTAGCCAGAAATCACCGTGCTGAATCTTATGATTCAGAAACGTGAAGCATAGACAAAGAAAGTGCGTATCACATGTTGGCATGGCTCACTCGCTTCATACCTGTCATCAAGGTAGCCACCCATCATGTCATGAGACACCAAGGTCCGTCGCAGACAGCGGTCCAGAGGAGGCTCTCTAGGTGCCAAGGGGACAACTGCCACACTGAAGGGGTTTGCCTTACTTCTTGTCCACGACAACAGATCCTCCATTGATTCAAGACCGCAGGTGATTGGTTCAGTGGTGTCAGCATCATAATGTTTCTCTTGAAGACAACAAGAAACAGCATGTACAAGAATGTACAAGATACCAGCTTTAACTCAGATCTTTTTAGACTTGTAACCTTACTAGGTAGCGGTGACGCTGTATACGTGACGACTTCACAAGTAACTGAGTCCGTGGGCTGATCCAAACAAGATTCCAACCTGATAAAGGATAAGAAACCAGGAAAATGGTTTTTTTTTAATTGGTTTTTAAACTAATCTGATGTGACAGTATTTCCGAAAAAGGTTCCCAGACATCAAAAATTTTTCTGACAATATTGCAATTAATCGGTTCCCAGACAGAGAAAATTCCCTTAACATAAAAAAGTTGCTCTGGAAGAGTCCTGGAAGAGTCCAGCACCCACCGGAAATTAGTCCGAATTGTTGCCAGTGTTGTGCCAGAAAGTGATCGCCTACCAAAACCTGATTTCCAGTGCTTCCTGGTTTTTATGTGTAATCTCTTTGTGTATGTTGGTAAATAGACTTCAGTGAACAGGGTTTACAAAGGGGTTATATACAAAATGTAAAAATTACATGTTTTTCAAGTATCTTTATAACATTGTACTTACATTATAACCAATCTGGTCCTTTTTGTCCACTTAAAATATGTTTACAGAACTGTTGTTATATTTGTTGCAATTGTTCTGTCCTCTTGGCCATATTGCTCTTAAAAAACACATTTTTAACTGGATAAATAAAGGATATATAAAAGTCACTGCCAAAAACTGATTACAGCTTCTATCTTGTTACAAGAATGCTGTTTGTGGTTCAAGATGACTTGATATCATTCATACATACATATATTTGACATATGTCTCACATATTATAGACCAACAAGTTATTTATAGCAGTTTAAATACGAGCAATCAGTTTTTGGCAAATACCGGAAATCAGTTTTTGGCAGACGATCATTTCTTGGCATAACACCGGTAATGTGGACAAAGCTCCCGTAACAAGGACTGAATGGCTAATAACAATGGACCGGACACCCCATACTCCCGAAGCATCCCCCATGGGACACTCCAATGCCTTTTCCACACACTCTCAAATATCATTGAGGGGATAAAGAGCTGGTTCAGTGGTCTGCGACCAGGACAAAAACCACCTTGTTCCTCCTGTATCTGTCGTTCAACTAACACTCTCCCTTTCAAACAAACAAACTGTGGTTTATGAAAAAGTCCAAAAACAAAACACAGCTCGGGATCAGTTTAGACAGGTCGTTCCTCCCAGTCACGCTCCTCGATGTCTCCTTGTCGTTGCCCACTCAGTGACTTCAATAAGCCTGGTTACTCTGAACTGTTTGATGCATAAGCACAAACAGTCAGGAATCGTTCCCTGACCAGAAGGTGCAGGGAAGCAACCTTCTCATCCACCGACGAGAACCCCAATGTATCTGGCATGATCCCCATAAATGATCATTCCCTTCCTGCTTCCAGTACTGTGTCCCGTAGTTTTCTCCTTTCTCTTCTCCTAGGTGAAGACGGAGCTTAACTTGACAAGACAGAAGATCTTGACCGGAAGTTCTCTAACATAACTTTTTTTGGCAACGTGATCGATCATTTCGTATCCTCTCTTTGAGATTTAAAAATCAGTTTTACAAAAGACACCTGACAAATATCTCATAGCATTTCAATAAAGACATTTCAAGTGGCAAAAAGGTGATTAATTATAATATCAAACGCAGAGCAGGACGAATAGCAGACTGTTAAAGATACTTGCAAAGCTGTTCTTTGTTTTATATTTAACGCCATAGGTTATGTTGACTACAGCCTATTTACCAAAATAAATAAAGATATAAGGCATAAAAAAAGAAATACGTATATCGGGAACTTTTAGGCCTAATTTTCACGCAGCAGGCAGAAGGGCTCTCCTGACTAAATGTTGTACCTCTTTCCTGCGACACCATCACTTTCCTCTCCGTTCTTTCTTTTCCTTCGTAAAGGAAGCTGGATTTCCTCACCACTCGATGCCATTTCCCTGAATTTCGTGCAGAGAGTAATGAAGTGTCAAGTTATCTGAAGACATGGAAAGTGAAACGGCTTTTCAACCAGTGAGGACGTCGTTCTCTCTCTCATTCTCTCTCAAGTTAATAGGCGGTTGCAGACAGCTGAAAGGTGCACACCACCACCTACTGTACAGTGTGTACAACATCATGTTATTAACAAACTAAAGCAGCTCCCAACCAGCTGTGTTTCTCTCAAATAACAAAAATTGCTTTCCTAGTTCTACTTACACCTTCAGCCCCGCCCATCTCTTCCCCAAATACCCTTCAATGACCGTTCCCTTCCCTGCTTCCAGTTTCCCCTTTCTCGTGTATTTCACATTTTTGAAATATTTTTTTCATTTCTTATCCTCATACTATCTTTTCTGCCATAGTTCCATCCTTATCTTATTGATAACTGCCCTTCCTTCACATTTTCCAAGTGGAATGGGTATTGTTATTTCTTTTAGCAAAAGCACCTTTTGGTAATTTATCGGCATTTTCATTTCCATTCCAATTTCACAAACTAAAACGACAAAGCTGGACAACGTGGGAGCTGTTTAATATAATGTGATAAAAAAAATCTGGTTTGTACTTTTTGATGTCACTATGCTCGATATACGAAACCTATAGGCGTCAAAATCCAGTTGATAACACTCAATTTAAACCACTGTTAATTACCAAACAGCTATAAAATAATTGATGATCTAATTCATTTTATTTTTTAAACAATTTTTAAGAAACGGGTTAGATTAAACATTAAACTCAGTCCCCGATCAGTAACATTTTGTATTAACGGTTTTATTTTAAAATAAATATCTATTTAGGACTTCTTCTTTCTTTTTTTTCTTTTTTTTTACCATGTCATGTCATACAGCAAAAGACTGTATTTGTTTAATTTGTTTATGAGAAGGTGGACAGTGGCCAGCTGGACAAAAGAGTACATCTTTTGTTTATGTGCACGACCAGACTCTTTCGCTTTGTAAAGATTAGTCTCTAACGGAAAATACAGGTGCAACAACACAGAGCCCCGGAGAAGGTAAAAATGGCGGCTACGGATCAGGCGAAACCTCACACTCTTGTCCCGTGTGAATGATTTTCATTTATTTTTCATTACACTGTATTTCCCGGTTATTTAAAAGCAAACGTTTTTAAATTTAGCTCTTGTAACAGTTCAAAGTGAAGAAACTACCAAGGCTGGAGATGTGGTTGGGTCCGTTATCGTTAGTGGTATCTGTTGGGAACTCTACAGCAATAGGCTCTCTGATTAGCGTCCTCCCCCACTTCACCCTGCAGGGAAGTGATGTCAGACACATTCAGAGAAGTGCTGAACAGGGTCCTCACAGAGAGCAGACAAGGCAGCCAGAGGAAGAGGATCAGAGCAGAATCGTAAAAGTAACCTGCTCAAAATCCGCCTTCATCCGTGGAGAATTAAAGTGTATCGGCACAGAAAACACCAGGAGCAGAAAGTACAACGATTAATCTTTCCAGTGAACCTCATATTGTCACATTATGAAGTTAGGAATACTTTAAAACAAGAGGCGAAAGATTGTGAGTATCGACCTCATCCGGCGACAGCATAGAGAAGAGTCAGTCCTTCGCCTGAATAGCTCGTTTGCGTTGGATGCTTTTGGCTGTGGTGCTTTTAAATAAGGCTGAGCTCTAAACCAGGACGTTTTTGGCTGTTTCCGAGCTAGCGAGCGTGCTTGCTAGCCGACTGAAGCTTGCTTACCATGGAGTTGAGAGTGGGTAACCGATACAGACTGGGGAGGAAAATTGGAAGTGGCTCTTTTGGAGACATCTACCTAGGTAAGTTATTGGCGGACAACATTTTTGTATTGTTTACCGTTGTTAGTCTCGTTATAATATAGACGTCTCTAACAATAAGTCATCTTCTCCGGGTTTCCTATTCGAGCTCACAATCAATCAGCTGTTCTGTGTTTAGTCCCAGTAACGTTAGCTACTAAGCTATCAGTCTGTGTAGCAAAGGAGCTAGCAGTGACATCCGCTGCCATAAAACATTTGATAATAAACGATATCATTCTTCATTGTGTTTGACTTCGAGAGCATTTTCTCTGTTACAAGATTCAATTATTGTCCAAATTAATCGTCCTAACGATAAGAATTGACACTGACGGCTCTTGTGTAACTAAATGTCCACTGCCTATAGATAGCTAATGTATAGGTTTCCAGTCTTTGCTCCCCTGGAAGCAGCAGCAGTGATAGTCTCGAACAAAATAGCAGATCAGGCCACAGGCTTTCATTTAAGCTTTTTTGGTAACCGATATCCAGCGTTTATTTACTTAAGCTGAACATCCTTCTTTAAACACAACAGACCGGTTTAATTTCCTCCTCTTGTTCATAAATGCACTAAAAAGACTACCTTAGTGTTCTTGAGAAGTGAGGAGGATATGGTCCTTTATATCCTATAGATACTTTTGAAGACATCTTTATTTATTAAAATGATAACCTAGTTATTCAATCTGTGAGGATGGTATATTTGGGACTACATTTGATCAAAGGAGGCTCTATGGCCTGCTGAGACAGGCGGGGGTAACTTTGAGTATAGTACTGGTTGTTTGGTTTAAGGTACACGTTCATATAGTTTTTCATCTACACTTTTGGACTACTGGTGGATCAGTCCTTACTATAATGAACTGGATGTCCTTCCTCTGGCATAGGTGAACAGTAGATGTTGAATATTATTTACTGCACAGGCTGTGTGGGCTAATACTGGCTGCTAGCAATGATATAATTTATTGTGTGATGGGGGAAGTCGATAGTGGCAGAGGGAAGTGTATCTTCTTTGAGCTCTCCAACTGAGCTATGAATATAAATATGCAAAAAACATTCTCTAACAGGGCTTCATCAGCTGCTGTAATGTGTTCTCTTGTGGCCATGTTGGAGGTTTTTGGCATCAGCAGTGGAGAACAGCTGATCACATTTTTGAGCTTAAAAACTAGTCATCTAAACAAATGTAGAGGTTATTCATTTGAGTTTTTCTCTGGTGGTGGACTGATTATTCTGTGACTGATGGCGCTCTAATCAACCAGGAGAGAAAATGGTCAGCTCTGACTGCTGGGACTTGGTAACAATTGAGTATATGTTACACAGTATTAAGTGCAATGTTTCCGCTTACTCAGGAAACAGTGAGATAGGTACATATGATTGGTTAAATGTTTCATCATCAGTTTAATTTAATCACTAAGCATTTTGAATTTGCTGTCTAAGTTGGAATTGTGGTTTTCCTGTGATTCTATGACATGAAAGTCAACACGATCAGTCCAGTTGTAATAAATACAGTCTCTGTTAAATTTTTAGGCTAATTTGTAACATTTTTTCTTTTTCTTTTTTTTTTTGAGTAAATGATAAAATGCTAAACAGCACAACATGTAGCGTTACAACAGTAGCATTTATTGCCCCTTCTTGAATTAGTGTTGGGTTTTTCCAACCCATGTAGTGTGTTAAGGTCTCAGTCTAGAGCAGTTAAGCTGCAGCTGACTTAATAGTTTATTCATATTTAAATTTTACTTGAAAGGATAAAGTATGTGTTTGATTATTGGTTAACAAGCCTAGTTTCCTGTAGGGATAAACCTGTGTACATAGTTTATATAGCGTTTTACCCAGACTTGTTGGTTTTTGACATTTTTCTTTGTGGAAAAAACGAATAAGATTTGGTGTCTGACGGCTGTTACGGTACATGATTTAATCACGTTGCCCTCTGCAATATAGCAGATGACTTTTTAATCTGTTAAATCAGAAATTATGCAGGGTGGACTGCAGGTTTAACAAAGTGCTTAGATTCAGATTCATAAATGCATTTATTTTTAAAACGCAACGTTTTAAACAGAGCAAAGTGGAAGTTAATGCATCAACTGTATCCAGTTTGCTTTCCACGTGATGCGTTGTTTCGACTGATAGTGAGCTCTGCCAGCTGCTTGCATAATCACTTTGTGGTTTTGTCTCTCCCTCCCTTCCTCTTTTCTCCTCCAATTGGCTGGTGGATAATGTGATGTAACATTGTTAATCAGCCAGAACAGAGAGTCACGCATTGTGCAGAGGTGTTTTTCCAAGTCTTACAGCACAAATTTGCACTTTAAGTGAATAATAGAATTGAACAAGTCAAACACATTTGGAGAAGTAAAATCTCCAGGAAGTAAACAAATTCTTAAAAGTCTTGAGAAAATGAAACTTTGACAGTTTAGGCAACTGGATTTCACAGTCATTCCCACATTAAGGCTCCCACACAGTGTGTGAAAACAGCGCGTTAATAATGCTGACAATGTGTGAGCAGCTTGGCTGAGCAGTGGATTGTGCGAGAGATCGGTTGTTGTTAGCAGGATTGAGGTCAGCTCTTGGAGTGAAGCCTTGTACTCTGTGTGCTGTGACTGGACGCAAATGTGGATTGTCAAATATTCGGGTACAAGTGGTAGAATAGCTTTTCCACTTTTGAGAGGCTGTCACGACAAAATGCCAGTTATGCACAGAGCACACAAGCGCTTAGTCAAGGTCTGAGTCATCTTGTATTTCCAAAGATCTTCCATTTGAATCTCTTGCTGTGTTATCTGTTGGGTGATGTGCATGTTGAAACACGGTTCAAAAATCCGGATGTGGTCTTTATCATTGTCCAAACTCCTTGAACTGTAAAGGTTTTCCCCTCATCACAGCACCAGACGTCAATACTTGTTTGGTATCGCCTGAAAAGGAGCATTCAAGTACTGCCAATATCTAAAGTTTAAACTTGGGAGATGGACAGAAATGTTGGTCTTTCATTGGAGTTCTGTGGCCAATTACAGATTCTAACTTAGGCAAAGTTCTTTTATGTCTTTCTGTTGTACAATTATTTTAATCAACAATTTAGAAATACGACTTATTGACTTTCTGTAGAGTTATTTAAAGTGAATGTATTTATACTTACTTTCAGCAAAATATTTTTATGATTTGAATTTACTAGAGTAGTCTACAAATTTGAGGTTTTAAAATAATGCTGTTGTTTTGGGGCCTTGGTGTAGGTCTAAATTTGCCAAAAATAAACAATTTTATACATTTCCTCTCTGACAGCAGCGTGGAGCCTGAGCTTTTGTTTCACAATGACTGCTTGTAAATAAACTTGACTTATTAGTGGCATTTTTAATATAAGAATCCACCTTACAAATGCAAAGTAGCTTCATAGCTAGCTCTGCCTGTTCGTATTAAACGCTATCGTGGTAACTTGAATGACCTGAATACCCTTCAGATCTGGAAGAGTTGCTGCTTCAGTACATACACTGCATATAAGTATTGGTTCTGTGACATCCCTATTCTGTATCATTGTACTCTGTATTTATGACTAATATTTTATAATTTTAGGGCGATTACCACACCCCTTCACCCAGAGGCACTGAACACCCTCATACGTAATCAGTGCAAAGTTGAAATGAAAAAACTTGAGTGAGTTTGTGGGAAAATGTCACAAAATTACCCATATTGATAATGCTGTGATGATGCGTTGTTTTGACGTAAATTTAACCATTGATGTATTTCTTTTACACCGCATTATTGATCACTATCAGTAAGAATAAAACCTGTTTTTCAAAGTGTTCAGAGCTCCAAACTCTACCTCAGCCTGTTACTTAGCTACCTGAGACTTGTCTAACATTTTCCCAGCTTTTGATTTTTGAAAAGCTTCCAGTAGAGTATACCAAAAGGGATGGGTCTGCTTACACAAGGAAAAATAACAGTGAGGTTGCTATAAGGCTGCTATAATAACATAGAACCTAAGACGTGCTCAGAACTAATGCTGGCGGTGAGTCAGTCTTCAAACTGATGACGCGTTCCGTTGCTTCCCATCTGCCGTGTTATGGTGTCAACAGTAGCTATAATGACGCTGTCTCATCCAGCCCAGAAACTTTGGTATTGAGCAATCTTGAGTCTTTTTCTTTTTTTTTTTTCTTAACTGAGCGTAGAATATGTTAATGCAGCCTAAATTAAGCCTTAGTTCAATGGAGTCCTCGCACTGAAGACTTGAACCACTGCAGTCTTGGTCATCTTCTGTGTGAAATGCCAGCTTAGACCTGCTTCAGCATTATTGGGGATTGCTGGTCTGACTGGTTTTACTTGGATCGTGTTGCCTGTGCTGTCAGTTTCTCTGATTTACTCTCTGCCTGTTTGCCTCGATCATGGTAGTCTGTGATATATTTCTATATTTCTATTATGCTTATGGCAAAAAACAACTTTGATTCTATAAAGTGTGTTAATGCTGAGTTTTGTTTTTATTCCTATATAGTCATTACAGCACAGTTTTGTGCGCTGGTCTCTATGCAAATCTCGTCAAATATTTGCATATTTAGAGTCTCAGTAGCCTGCCTGTGTTTGTTTGTGAGCCAGTGTGGAGAGACATGTCAGAACACGTTTCACAAGCAGGACTGCACTTGATAGAAACACACACCATGTACATACACACTGTGTTTTTGTTTTGTTTTTTTGTTTGGGGGGTGTTCCACTGACAAACACATCTATGCCCCCAGCCTCGCATTTAAAACCATGTGGTTGAGAGAAGGGGGTTGTTGGTGGGTGGAGGTGGGGGACTACATTCTCTAGGAAATGTGTCCAGGCAAATCACATTCCTATGATGCAAGAGAGCAGACACCACAGTCAAACACACGCTAGTTCTCCCCATAAAGAGGCTTTGAAGCCTTTTCGTTGTGACTGCGGATTGATTTATCAATCGATTGGCTGAGCACATACTGGATTAAACACTTATTTCGAGTTAAGTGTCTTTGTGTTGTACTGAAAGCTTTAATAGGGTAGAAACGCTAAGGGTGTGTTTTTAAAAACTAAACATATTTTGCATAACTATGCAACTGGATTTCTATAAAATTATATCAATCCACCAATGAATAATAGATTACTGCATGTTCAGGAACTACTTTGGCATTTCAAATAGGAGAACATTAATTCTGCAGGGAAATCCATAAAGAAATGTTTATTTAGATTGTTGTGGGTTCTCTGTGCCAGATAGATCTCATGCATTCTGCCTGGGATCCACATATTTGCATGCATATACATGTTGTATATTTGTATATTACATTACATGCAATTGACCCTGTGCACGAGAACATGCTAACTTCCTGGTTTGAAGGATCCAAAACTCGAAAACGGAAAGATCGCGTTAAGTTACAAAGAGCAGAAGGTGGGAACACTCACCACTGTTGTGTCATAAAAAATCTAATGATCAATTTTGACGTTTAAAGAGTTTAGATCGATCAGTTGTTTACATCACTCAACACAAGCAGAACTGCATCACTGCAGCAGAAGACACATCGTCCACATTCAGAAGCACATCTCTGTATAATGACTGGTCTTATGATTTAAACAGGCAAATGTTCAGCATTCAAACTACAGGTGAAGAATAGTCAAACCAGATGTTTCCCCGTTATGTCGAGATCAGCTAGTCAAGTACACACCTACACAGCATGTTAATAAACTGTGAAAAAAGCCACACAAAAAATTGACTGCTGGTAACGGTTTCTATACATTAGTATTTACGAAGAGTATGTTGTGACTTACCTAAAAATTTACAGCGGTCCCTCGCTAATAACGCGGTTCACCTTTCACCTCGCTGTTTCGCAGATTTTCTTTTAGTGCAAGCTTGCATGCTTATTTTTTACGTCACATTGTGTCCTGTGTCCTGATCGCTGCAGACGATCTCCTCCGTGACGTCTCTCCTGTACAGTACAGAATCGCTGCATCGATCGCTAGCAGTCTGACTCTGAAGTGCAGTATTGTATGTCCACGAAACGTTTTGCACCGTCAAAAAATAAAATTGGCTACTTCATTTCACCTATCGCTGGTTATTTTTAGAACGTAACACCCGCTGTAAACGAGGGACAGCTGAGAAATATAACATTTGAATCCCTTTTCTCTTTTGCTCTGAGGCGCGGGGAAAAAATATCGACAAGTCGATGAATATCATTTACAGATATATTGAGTAAATGCCCAAGACATCTATAGAAATGTAAATCGCCGCTTGATTCATTCATTTGCTTAACTTGTTTTGGACCGTAAACTGGGCGCGAATAGGACACCGGAAACAAAGCTCCCCACAGGAGTTTCCGCACCAGAAGTAGCATATGCTAATGTGCACACAGTCAATTAAATCACATACAGCAAGTTACAGCATTTCAGTCCACAGTGGGATATGTACCTGAAAAGTGTATGATGTTAATGCATTATCACAATGCATTATTGTTTACTGTGAACAGAAGTCAGTATCTGTTACACTAAAATACTGATACAATGGATTGTGTGTACATGAGAAACAGTTCTGAGAACTTACATTTAAAAAGAATCGGCCAGGAAAAAATGGGAGGAGCCAAATGCAGGTGGCAGTTTTAATGGAGCAGGGAGAATATGCTTTTATCTGAAAGAAATCATAATAAGATTTTCTCTGCTTGGTGAGAAAAAGTGACATTGATTTTGCTTCTAGTTTTATAGGATATATAAGAAAATGTATGCTAAGAGAGAAAAATATTTCTGAGTGCAGATGACCAAGCGATTTGGATAAACTTTAAAGTAACTGTCTCGAATGATTTGACAGTGGGTTTGGATTGCTAGCTTGGAGTAGATCAAAGTCAAATTTAACTGCATAGATGAGGAGCAGCAGGTGCATCATGCATACTCATGCAGCTTTAAAAAACCCAAAATAAATATGAAGTCCTCTTCACCCTGTTAGTGTTGTTCTTGTATTAAAAACTTTGATTAAACAGTTATGGTGCAAGTTGGAAGCCCCACCCATGATTGCTACTCGTTCCAGCCGAATGACATCATTTAGAGTTGTCTGATACACCATTGGTTGGCGTACATGATTGAACAGTTCCTTGTGTGCTGTATCCTGTATGCGTGAGAGTGTGTGTAATGGCATTACATAACCTGGTGTCCAGTTGCTGTTTTCATGTGGAGGGAACTGGCTTCTATGGCTGTGATTGGGAAGAAATGAGTTTGTCAGTTTGAGAGCCATTTCCCAAAATGCTTGATTTTGTGAAACCGTATCTAAATGTAAGGATAGTTGTGAGGAATAAGAGCGTAGATGTATGAAAGAAGAGCAGGGTACAAGTACATCCAGTACACAAAATTGGCTGGTGTATCTTACACTTGGCTGGCTTTGCTGTGTTAATAACCACTGATATTTCCTTGTGTACCCAAGCAGGGCTTCCTAACTTCATCCACCAGCCAAGTGCTGGTTTATGTTTTTTCTGTGACATGTTGATAAAGCAAACCTTTAAATGACAACGCAGCACATTAACTGCTGCTTTTAAAGTAGTGAATCACATTGATCTAATGGACTGTTACTTGTTTTCTTGATTTTCAGAGGCTTATGGCACAGCTGATGATGCAATATTGGTTTATCTGCTGATGCTGTAACTTGGTTTCTAAATTACTTGTCTGCTAGAACAGTCCAACTTTCTACTTTTTCCTTTCCTCATTTTTCCCAATATCCACAAGACCTTACTATTGCTCCATATCAGGACCACTGCTCTTCTCTCTCTCTCTCTCTCTCTCTCTCTCTCTCTCTCTCTCTCTCTCTCTCTCTCTCTCTCCCTCTATTAAAATAAAATTACTATTAAAAATTAGAGAATGTTCATTATTTTGTAAGAGAGCAATCCTACAAGAGTGTCAACTAATTATTTCTAGCCAGCCTTGAAAATTTTCAAATGTATATCGTGATAGATATTTTTGGACATATCGCCCTGCTCTATATACTATACAGACACAACTCTCACTGTTA